CTTTTGGCAAAACCTATTTAATTGAAGTTACTTCTATGCAAACGGGCACGACAAATAGCTAGAATGGTTCACCTTTGTATCTAAACCATCTACTCTCCTTTGTAACAACAGAGGCTTTGGTTAGGAAAGTAACAAAAGAGAACTTTGATAAGGGTTTGATCTATCCACCATTCTCTAATATCAGAAAGATCTCGGCCCACATTTGCTGCTGATGTAGTTGCTAAAGAATATGAACTTGGTGAGTTAGTGAGTGTACCTTTGGAAGTCCATTTGGTTCATCTAGAGTGGGAAGAACATTCATAAAAGAGGTGATTGAGGCCATGGCCTCCTTCAATGAGGTACTCTCTCTCTCCCTCCAAAATTTTATAATAAGATTCTAAATGAATGGCATGCAGAAACCTCTCATTATGGCTCTCTCCAACCCAACCTCGCAATCTGAGTGCACAGCTAAAGAAGCTTATAGCTGGAGTCAGGTAAAAATAAATTATGCATTTTTTCTTATCCTATAATTTGATGTTTTGATGCAAAGTAATGTATGATTGGATTTAAATACAAAACTAATAAATTTCTCTACTCTAAAAAAGGGACATGCAATTTTTGCCACTGGAAGTCCAATCGACCCTGTCGAATACAATGGCAAACTCTATCTACCTGGCCAGGTTCTATTACTTTATACTTCTAGTTTTTTGGTGTTATATACTTAATACATCTGAGATGGATACTAAAAACTGATTTTGATGGCACCTTTTGTGTTTTTGTTTTTTAGTGATCAATTCAGGCAAATAATGCATATATTTTCCCTAGATTTGGTTTGGGTTTGGTCATCTCTAGTGCAATTCGTGCACACGATGAAATGCTTCTGGCAACCTGTAAGTGCACTACATATTACATAATTAGATACATTATAAGTTGAATACAATTTACTTGCTAATTGAAGAGCAAGGAATTCATTCCTTTAACTTATTTCATTTTACCTATGCTTTATTATTTTTTTCCCTTTCCCTTGGTCACATAGCTAAACAAGTCATAAATAATGAATCGACACTCTTTAGAAAAAGTTCTAAGATGTTTACTCAGATTCCAATAGAATGTAAACTCAAAAAACACCTTGTGTTTGTTTTATTCCCTTGATGTGTGATCTGGTTTTGTAAGGGCGATTTGCCATTAGCGTCCCTGGTGGCGCAGGTTCAAGTTATTGAAACAGTCTCTGTACATCTTGCCCTCTCTAGATATCCTTTTAACATAAGTTTTTTACACTGGGTTGCCCATAATCATGTGTGAAGCACTACAGAAAACCTTTGGTGAAACCTATTAAATTGCAATTCTAGGCGATACGCACGACAAATAGATAGAATGGTTAACCTTTGTATCTGAATCATCTACTTTCCTTTGTAACAGAAGAGGCTTTGGTTGAGCAAGTAACAAAAGAGAATTTGGGCAAGGGTTTGATCTATTCACCATTCTCTAATATCAAAAAGATCTCTGGCCACATTGCTGCTAATGTGGCTGCTAAAGCATATGAACTTGGTGAGTTAGTAAGTGTACCTTTGGTTGCTTCATGTGTCTTACCTCCGCTGTAATTGCCCCTTGAAGCCTGTTTATTTTTATGACTTTCACAATGTTTCCTAGGGTTGGCAACGCATCTCCCTTGGCCTGATATTCTAGTGAAGTACGCTGAAAGCTGCATGTATACTCCCAATTACAGAAGCTTCCGATGAATTGTTGAATTGTGAGCAGAAACTATGGCTAGTAGTTAATGTAGTGTGTTTCTTCAGAGTCTTATATATTCTTGTTTGGCGTCTCTCCTTTTCCCTCTACATTCCAATCATGGTGTTTCGGAACTTTTGTGGTGTTGTAACCTTTAGAGTTTATATTAGAACAATGACAGTAAGAGTCGGGTTGGATGAAAGGTTAGTTTTAGTTTAAACATTGTCAACTCCAGTCTCTACTTGCTACTCACTACCAGTTTAGTAGTCTCTATGAAGTCACAAAAGCTGTGGAAATATGGAGAAATTCAAACTGACCTGTGATGCATCCGATGCGGTGGTACTTGTAGAATCAACCACTTGCCTCAATTGAGGACTTGGAATGCCAAGCTTGTCATTCTCAAGATGTATTACTAACTTTTGATGCTAAGCTTCACTTGAATTGTATCATAGAGAGAGTTCAAAATAGAAGGATATAAGAGAGCGACAGAGCTGGACAAAAGATTTTTAGCCTAACTGCCTTCTATGTGTAATTGTAATAGAATATAGTGTTTTTTAATAAATCAATCCCCGTGTTCTTTGGCCCAAAGGTAAATTGTATCTTCCCCCATTGACCTATTTCCCTTAGTTGTTAGTTCTTAGTGGCTAGTGTGGCAAATGAGCTGCGCTGAGCTCGTTTGTCTATCAAGCTCAAAAAAGAAAAGTTTGAGTTGAGCTTGAATATTTATAGTAATTAATGCTTGAGCTCAGCTCAGTTCGTAGTTGTGAGTTCTTAGTGGCCAGTGTGGCAAATGAGCTGAGCTGAACTGGTTTGTTTATCTAGCTCAAAAAAGAAAAGTTTGAGTTGAGCTTGAATATTTATACTAATTAATGCTTGAGCTCAGCTCAGTTCCTTAATATTAATTATATTCAAGTTTGGTTTGAAACTTAATAATGAAGAAAAATGATAAAGTTTGGTTTGAAACTCAATAATGAACGATTTTGGTTTGAAACTTAATAATGAAGTTATGCTCGAGTTTGGTTTGAAACTCAATAATGAAGAAAAAAATTGACTTGAATCTTGAGTGATTCATTTATAAAGCGAGCTCAAAAGATTGGTTTGACATTGTTTATGTATGTAATAAACTGAGCAGAGTTGAACTCTTATTGAATTTGTTAAACAAGCCTAAAAATTTAATTTGAACTCGCTTATATATGTAACAAGTAGAGTTGAGCTCTTACTGGGTTTATTAAACAAGCCTAAAAATTTAATTTGAACTTGCTTATATATGTAATAAACAGAGCAAGGTTGAACTTTTTTTCATAGTGTCACACCACGCTGACAACACAAGAGGGGGGGAAATTAAGTTGGTAAATATAACTTAAAATAAAATAATTCAATAAAATTAACTTGCTCAAGCAAAATAAAAGAATGAACATATAAAATATGAGCAATAATGTGTGTGAGCAAATCAAGTCAAAGCACAACAGAGCAGCAATTATAAATATAAAGGAGAGATAGAGAGAGAAGGCAAACACAAGATTTATAATGGTTGGTTTCCATCCAAGTTTGCATCCACTCCTCAAGGCTCCCCCTCGAGTATTTTCACTATTCATCTAATAGATTTTCACCAGCAAGTTTACCGGATACTTGCAAGACTTTTACAACAATAATTATGTTTCAAAAATCCCAAAAAACAAACTCACCAAAACAGCCCATTTTTTGGTGTTATCAAATCTCTCAAGTGTTCTCTCTCAAACACTCATAATGAAGCTCATGGGTATAACAACCATTTATAGATGATTTGTAGATAATAAAAAAATGCGTAAAGCATTTTGTACGATAAAACTCCTAAAGAGTTGGATTCAAACAATTAAAGCTCATAGAGATGAAATGAAAGTTATAGTATAAAATTATTGTATTTTCTCCTCTTTTGGAGATTATCCTCTCTGTCACTTGTAGATGAATGTAGATTTTCTATTTATAATCCCTCATCTTCATTTGACCATTGGAGAGCAAATATAGCCCTCTCCGTCCCCGATCCCCGATGGCAGAACTTCCCCCCGTCCCCGTCCCCATCCCCGACGGGGAACCAACTACCGCCCCCACTCCCGCCCCGTAACGGGGATCAGGTTTCCCCGACCCCGAAAATCCCCGGCCAAAAATACAACATCATCAAAAGAAAAAAAAAATCAACATCTCAACAAGAGAACATCACCACCAACAGATCTGAAAAAAAAAATCAAAACAACAGATCTTCATCACCACCATTAAGAACATCAACAAAAAAAAAAATTCAAAACAACAGATCTTCATCACCAACAGATGATCTTCATCACCACCAACAGATCTGAAACCAACGGATCCATGTGAGAGAGAGAGAGAGAGGGGAGATCTGTGAGAGAGAGAGAGAGAGAGATACCGTGTGGAGAGAAGAGAGGGGGGTCGGGGCTCGCCGTTGGTGAGAGAGAGGGCGGTCGGGGCTCGCCGTCGGTGAGAGAGAGGGGGTCAGGGCTAGAGAAAACAACGAGAGAGAGAGAGTTGAGATGAGAGTGAGAGTGACAGAGGGAGAGATATATCAGAGTTAACAGAGTGAGTGTGAGAGGATACGGGTTTGGTTTTATATATATATATATATATAAGGGGTATAAAAGTAATTTTACTTCAGGGGGAATTCGGGGATGGGGCCGGGGACGGGGACGGGGTCGGGGATCGGGCCGGGCCGGGGCTTAAACACTGATCACCGTCCCCGGCCCGAAACAGATCGGGGATTGATTTTCAGGTACCGTCTTCTCCCCGTCGGGGGTATTTTTTGGAAAAAAACCGCTTAAATCGAGGTCGGGATCGGGGATCCCCGTCGGGTTGGTTTCAAATTGCCATCCCTAGAGACAACAATGTGGTCCAATTCACATGGAGACAAGTCATCTGAATGAAAATTACACGAATAACCTATAAAACACATGATGGGATACATAGTCACTTTAATTTTTTTTTAAAGTGAATTGTTTCCAGAAAATTTTCACAAAAATCATTTCCAGTAATAAATAATTTGCAAAAATATTTATTTTGCATTTTCCAGAAAATGAAAATAAAAATTAAAAACAAAAACATTACGAAACAGTAGTGTAACTTGTGGCAATTACAACCATTAATCAAATGTCAAATAAATGGAACATATATATTAACCAAATATAGGTCCATAGCGAAAACTTATTTTCTCCACAATGCACAACATAACCTAATTATTTGCTTTGTGAACTCTTTCAAATGTAAATGTAGCATACAAAATAAAAATCCTGCAATTGATCAAATAATGTAGAAATAAAATATATAAAAAAAAGTTTAAATTTTAATAAATATTTCGCATATTCTCATATATGTTTTACATATATATCAACATTACATTTGCAACCAAAAAAAGATTACATGATATTTCTCCAATATTCAACTAAGAGAACCTGTTTCCATACAAACTGTAGCAGGAAGGAGCTAACCTCTGTGTTCTACACTTGAAACAAAAATCCCAGTAATATTGACAACAGAGTTTGGTGAATCATTTTTCGTATGACTCGAGAGCAGCATGAGTATCCTTGTACCGCTGGAGCATGTAAGTTTCACATTTGATAGGAGGAAACCTGGTGGAAAAGAAGCAGGAAAAAATAGAGAAACTTCACGAAAACAAAGAAGTCAAGCATATCCTTTATGCATTTTTATTAATGCAAAAAGGTTTTAAATTTTAATTAGAAACCAACTCAGTTATCCAGGAAGCCTTTAAATGCATCCCAAAGATATTGTTAGACATCCCAAATTTGGTATTTTTTTTCAAATTTCACTTTATCCCCTTATCGTTTGAGGCCAAATCACTTTACCCACATGTGATTTAAATATAGGCATATTTGCCCCATTATGGTTTGGACTAAATTGCAATCTAACATCCGTTAACATTAATCCTCTTTATCTCTGGTATTATACACTTAAATCCTAAATTAATCACAAATTTTATTAATTAAACCATCTATATTTGAATCACGGATAGGTAAAGTGCCCCAAACTCAAAGCACAAGGAGTAAAAGTGAATTTTTCCCCCTTTTTAATACCATTTGACCTCTATGTCAAATTACAAAAAAAAAGACAACCCTAAACCAGCTCCGGCTAGACCCTCCCGCGTCCCCCAGCCCCCTACCCACCCTCGGTACCACCTTGAAGGCTCATCTACACCATCTCCTCTTTCCTCCCCCCACGTAAGCAACTCCCCCATGGCTCCCCCCTCTGTTGCCCACCTCCTACCCATTTTCTCTCTCTCTCTCCCTTGGCGATGGTGGGTGATGTGGTTTGGGTTAGGGTTTGAGAAAAAGGTCAGGGGAGGGCTGTGGGGTGTTGCAGAGAGGTGGGGGGCATCAAGAAGAAGGAGAGGGGGGTATTGGGGAGCACGGGGAAGGGGCAGCAGGCGGTGGGGAGAGAAGGGGAGGGAAAGGAAGGGGTGGTGGAGGTGGCACTGGTGCGCTGGGTGGCTCGCCGATAGGTTGGACGGGTGCGGGTACGGTGGGAATTAATTGGGGTGTTCAAAGAAAATCAACAAAATTTAAATTCGATAATGGGGTGTCCAAAGGAAGGGGGATCCAACCATTGTTTTGGAGTACAATTAGAGGTTCCCACTTGTCCACATATGTTGCACGTAATTATGACGTCAATGGTCCTCACGCCATTGTGTGGGTGATAATTAATTTGTGATCATGCGTACTCAGATCAGTTGCAGTTATCGATGGTTAATGTGTGTTCATACTTAGATCAATGCAGGTATGAACAGTTTATCCGTGTTCAATTGATACTTACTTGGGAGGGTTCTCTTGCGACTGGCAGGTGGGCAAGCATTCAACAAGACAATCGTGATTAGGCTCCACAAAGTATGCAATCTGCTCAATGAAAAAATAATAATAATAAATAAATATAAATAAATCGAATAAAATGAAAGCAAAAAAACAAAAAGGGCCATTGTGTACGTTAGACGATAATATTGCATAAGGCGGCAAACTTTTCATTATCAACATCCCTTGTAGGCTATGCAATTAGACAACATTCAAAAGCTTCTAAAGGGGCCTTACAGAATATCTCTCCTGACCATTACCCAGCACTCGATGCAACGTGGACCTGGATAAAATTAAGCAAGTGAACACAGATACCCAAGTACCATAAAATTATAATCCCAACACTCAGACCACATACTAGAAAAATTGGCATTCATGGTGGTGGCAATGAGAAATTATTGTTCTGCAATTTTTGCTCTAAAGAAGGCAATGTCCCATATCGTACTCAATATTATCTCACAATAAACAACTGAAAAATAAATAATAATAATAATAATCCGACTGATTGTCATGAAGCTACAAAACCATCATTTAGGAACTTTGGCAAATGCACATTACCTGAAAATACAGTTGCTCCAGCGCTCTAGCATGTCACCAAGATTCACTATAAATGCTCTGAAAGTTAGATTTCAAACATCAAGACAGTAAGAAAATGCTAATAATATAGTAAAAGATTCATTCTACGTCAAATTGTAGCAGCTAAATGTAATATATGGTCTCTTTCATCTAACCTCAGCTCATAATCACAAAAGCATGTAGAAAACTTACACTAGCTCCAATAAAGGTGTCTAATATTGTCCAGAATTATGTAAAGTTTTCTTCCTTTATTTTTTGATAACTGAAAACCAATCCTAGGCAGTGCCTTTGGAACCAATCAAGTCTCTGAAGATTCTATTTACTAACCCTTTTAATGGTGCTACAAATTCCCACTTCTGAGGTTTAGCATCCTTATCCTTGCAT